GACTATTATAACATTATTGCTTATACGAGTTATTCTACGTTATCGAATCGTACATTCAGAAACATAATCGTTTCAAACGTAATGTATATCTGTGACAAGTTTCTGTGATCGTTCTCTTTGAGTCTGTTCAAGTATATTTTAATGTTTATCGAAGTAAACGTCGCTGGGACATGAACGAAACACAAAAGACACGAGAGAAAAAGAGTCTGAAAGTTTGTCAATTTATCTTTTTACATCGCGTAATCTATTTAATGTCTCAACCGAAGTCTCTCCTCTTGGATCCCCTTTCAGAAACTATTTTCCTCACCGGTGAAACGGAACTCTCGACGCATAAGGCAAACGATCTCGAGTTTCCTTTCATCGGGACATTCTTCCCACATATGTTACCAATTTTTTACCAGAAATAAATGCGTGCCATCTATTCCTGCTCGGTGACGTGTGTATGGGTAGAAATATACACACACACACACACATATATATATATATTTTTTTTTTCTCGATGATACCTCGATTTTTCAATAATCAGTCAAATAGCTTCGTCGTTTACCTTCTATACTAAAATTGATGGTTATTTATTGTTCCTGCAATTTTCTTAACAATGTTTTCTACGCAATTATTGTTATATAATCACGTCGTGATTGTCATACGTTCAGCAATAATTTTGATAAAAGTTAATTAAAATTGTTGACGAATGATCTATAATTGACTGTAATTAAAAATGAGTTGTGAAAATTAAATATATCAATGGGTCACTGGACTGCGGATCTTTATGCAGTTTCAAAAATCAATTCTTTTTACGAATACGAATTAAAGAAATGCAGAAACTTGTTTTCACTGTCAATTACTACAACAAGTACTCCACTTGCGATATTTTACATATTTCTGCTAAATTCCTATATTCACGAATAAAATTACATCTTGTTATAAATTTTCAAACTTTTAATTCGCACGGTACTCGTACGAGCCTGCTCCCGAGCCATTTGATGCATTCGACACGCCAACATTAACAAACTTTCTGCGATTCGATCATTTACGCCGTCTCATTTCTCGCAAAACGACGGTGTTTCTCGATAAAGTGCTATGCTCTTTGACAAATCCTCGTCGATAGGACAAAGATCCTACAACGTAGCTGATTCCTAAAACATCTCGAGCTTTTACCTTATAACACGGACCGGGATCCAGGGAAAAATCGGGGAATCGTTATGGTAACTCGTAAATCTTGCGGATCAGAAAATTCATTGCGCGATGGGATTAACCATCTCGAGGCGAAGGGAATCAATATCGTTTCAAATCTCGCGCCGTTCGCTGGAAATCGAGATTCTCGATTTTTGGCTAGATATTCTCTGGTGGTTCAGTGGGAAGTCGCGCAACGCAAAGCTGCGAGGCAAACAAGACTCGAAAGTGAGTGGGCAAATAGCCGACATTTGAAGCGATTAAGTTTATTTTACTGCTCTGGAGGGAGTTTATGGAAGCCGTTAGCGATGGCCGGGCAAACGTTTCAGCTTGACGTGTAATAATTCTCATTAGGACGTGATCGTAACTTTTCATTGGAAAGTTAAGGCGGCCGGTGGATATTAACGATGGTTTGATTGATCGATGGGCATCGGATGAGAGTAACGAGGATCGAGACTTGTTTCGAATTTCTGGAAAGTCAAATTGATTGATACGATTCTTAATGTTCACGGACACATATTTCATGGACAGAAAGAAACATTTCTAGCAGTTATTATTTTAGTATTATTATTTTTACACTAATTCCAATAATTCTGATAATAAAATCATATTTATGAAATTGTCAATAAGAGTGATGCAACATGGAAAAGTAATCTTTTCAATGGACCGATTCAAAGTAGAGATTGAAATAGAAAATTATAATTATAATTCGACTATTTGATCATGAAAATTCTTGTTTCTTATTACAATTTTTGAGGTCGAAATCGAATAAAAATAGAATT